TTTTTTTTTTTTTTTTTGAGAAATAGTTTTGTAGAATGATAAAACAAACACATTTTCTGCAATCTTAAAACATACTCTTAAAAACAGAAATTTGAAACTAAATTCAAAATTCAAAACTAAAACACAAACTAAACGTAATCTTACTCTTTAAATTTAAAAATGCTTTCAATTATGATGAAGATATTTTTTTTAAACAACAAATAGACTCTTGAAGATGCTCTAACTGAGCAGGTAGAGTGATTATGTGATTATCACGAACTTATTCGAAGGTCAATCAAGTATTTAATTTTAGAGGACGGAAATAGGGGACCATATATTTAAGGGGTCTACGTTAACGTTTTCCAAAAATTCAAGGGAACTAACGGATATGCATAGAGTGATTTGAATTATTAACATTTTAAATTTGAACAAAGTCATTCATTATTAGTCGTGATCATTATCAATTTAGATGACGGTGAAATTTAATTAGTATAGATTTTTTTTTTTAAATATGTTTAATATTCCAATTTCTGTAAATAGAAAATATACAAACATAGAGATAAAAAATTTAAAAACAAGAACGTTTTTTGAATTATCAATGGTGAGGATTCATTAAGATCGAAACGTCACTAACTAGCAAGAATTAACTAATTATCGCTAGGTTCTATTTAGGCAAGGGACACGAACGCCTCTAGATGGTCAACTCTGAGCGCCTAAAAAAATGGCCATGCTTTTCTATTCAACAAATGATATATTTATGCTTTGAAGTTCAGTTCCAAAAAATGTTAAAAACATTATTTAAAGGGTAATTAGCACAAAAAGTCCCTGCATTTCACTGTTATTGTGGAAAACTTCTATACTTTTCATTTTTTTGACATTTTCACCCTTGTTTTCACATTTCATTGCGTAAAAGTCATTTTTATCAATTTTCTCAATTGAAAATTGTGAAGTGACGAAAATACCATTTCCTTTAAATCAAACAAAAGAAAAAAGAAAAAAAATCAATTGCAAACCATCATTTATATTCATTTTCATCCAATTTCTCAATAAAGAACTGTGAAATAATGAAAATACTCTCATATTTTAATAAAAAGATATATTTTTTATTTCTAATTCTTTAATAATTTAATTGGGACTCGTTTGCACTTTTCATTAAAAAAATTTAATTTTTTTAATAATTTATTGGGGACTCTTTTGTACTTTTTAAAAAATTGGGACAATGGTTGCAATTAATTCTTTAGCTTTTTTATTTAAATATGAGAATATATCCGTCATCCCACTATTTTTTATTGAGAAATTGGATGTAAATGGATAGAAATAATGGTTTGTGCTATCAAATTATAATTCAGAGAGAAAATGCCAAAAAAAGTATAAGGTATTGATGTTTTTCGTAATAATAGTGAAATGTAGGGACATTATGTGCTAATTACCCTTTTAATAATTTATTTAGGACTCATTTGCTCTTTTCAAAAAAGTTGGGGCTATATTTGCAATTAATTTTTTCCTTTCCTTTTGTTTTATTTAAAAGGAATGGTATTTTCGTCATTTTACAATTTTTAATTGAGAAAATGAATAAAAAAATATTTTGCGCAATGAAATATGGAAATAAGGATAAAAATGTCAAAAATGAAATATATGAACGTTTTCCACAATAACAATGAAATATTATGACGTTTTGTACTAATTACCCTTATTTAAACTTAAAATAAGTCTAAAAAACTTATCCGCCGCTCAAAGTCAGCCCATGAACAAAGATTTTTCTTTTACAAACGAAACTTCAGCTATTCGTGATATTTATGATTTGAGAATTATATTTTTATTTAAATTTTGAAAATAAATTTATGAGATTTCTATAAATTTTCAAAGTATGTATTGTTTCATTTAATTATTGATTTAAAATAATAAAAAAATATTTTATTAAGTCTAGGGGCCTGTTTGGGTTGGATTAAAATCTGATTTTAATTTAAGTCAAAGTCAAACAATCAATATTAACCATTTCTTTCATGGGTCCCACGGCTTTTCAACCACACATTTCAAAACAATCTACTAAAAATCTAATTTTAATCACCACCAAACACCCACTAAATATTACTAATTTATCTAATTTTATAATTGTATTGTCTCTCTCTTAAATATTAGAGAGGAATATATCAGGTTCATAAATTACTTCACCATTTTTATAAAGAGTGAAAATTAGTTCCCGACTATAATATTATGTTATGAAGGGACGGACCCAGAATCGAAGTTCAGCTAGAACGGAGCTTGACTGTATAATTTTAATACTCACCAAACACTCTTGACATACATCTTGCAAGGCTTTTCGCATTTTCACCACTGACCTCGTGCCATGTAACAAAATTAATTCAATAAAGATGGTGCTCGACAATTTTATTATTATACAGTAATTCATTA